TTTTATCATAATATTAATAGAAACCTTTTACATATGAGTTTTGTTTTAAATTTTGGCATGTTTAATTACTATTATCTGCTACAATTGTTATTAATTGAAGTTTATGTGGGGGCATTTCATGGGATGCTTCTTTTCGAATCTGAATATATATATATGTGTGTGTGTGTGTGTGGAGGAGGGCTTTTAAGCAATTGGTTCAATAGTGAATAATATTCCTTGTGGATTAAATTTGTTACTTCTTGCCATTTCGTGATGAAATAAAATGATATTAGAAAATAGAAAGAAGGAAAATTGTCGAATGTGCTGGCAAGAGTTGAGATGAAATAAGAGTTGTTTCAACCCCTCTGTGGATGCCAAGCAAGAGGATAATATTTTTTTAAATCATGATTCTGCAATGCTTAATGCAGCTGACATAAATCAGCACTTAAATGATAATTTAGAATGGGGTTTTGAATCATAATTTAACTCAAATATGCACTTAAATGATAATTTAGAATGGGGTTTTGAATCATAATTTAACTCAAATGTTGGTACCAGTTTTGTTGGCCCAGGGCACTTAAGAGTGGCCTACAGGTTGGTACTATAAATTCTTGAAGCCTCTTCTTTTCCTGAAAACACCTTTACGATTATCACTCTAATCTTCCTCCTAATGCTGTAAAATCTGGTTGGGTGCAACAGATACAATCTTGGGCAAGGCTACTTTGCAACACATACAATCTTGGATACAGCAACTTCCTCTGTTGGTTGTCCCATGATGGGTTAGAGTGCGCATGCAATATCCCCATAAAATTGGTCCTCAAAGGAAAAGGAACGCAATCAAATAACTTACCCATGCATTTTTTTAGCATCACATTCGTATCAGCCTCTGTGTTCTAAGAAGACATCCTTTGCTGCGATCTCTTACTCCAATCTCAGTACCCTTCCCAATCATGGTGATCTCCATGCCCCTCCCTATAGGAAGGATGCTTCATAGATCTTACTTTTCCATTCCTTTGACATGGCCTCCCAACCCTTTGCTCCCTTCCAACAAGTTGTTTGCCACCACCACTGATCTTCTAGGATTAACATCCAATAACTTTAGCAATCTCATATAAATTGTCAGTGTTGCAATTGACAACACAGAAATCAATGTTTTAGTAATTCGGCAAAATCTCAACAGGTTCTCCAGTTTTAAATTCTACTCTGTCATCCAAAACCTGAATCTTCAATTACTTTCTGCACTTCGTCCTCTGTTGGTTCTGAAAGAATACATACACAAGCATGCCACCAGTTTGTTGAGCAGTTGCTGCTGCTGCTAAGGACACCTCGAGTGTGACTTCCACGATTAGTTTTGCACTCATCCCTGCTGCCAAGGCTGATATGAAATTGTTGCTCTCGAACTCTCGTGTTTAACAATGAAATTCAAATGAACATTTTACCCCGGCCTTTATATATCAATGGGAAGAATGGAACCCCTAATCCCACCCTTACTTTTTAAAATGCCATGCCAAATCTTCAATGGCTTTGTCCTATTTTTACTCCTAAGGAGTGGAATGACTAGGTTGAGAAAAGAAAGAAAGAAACTACGTTATATTATGTATGGATTATGTTAGTAATTTAACTATAATTCTTATAACCGAGGCGCACATATCTCTAAAAGCTTTAAAATGAACTATACCAATTAAGGGATCCTGAAATCAGAGAACAATTAAACACAAGAAAGCTACAGAAGCTCAGCTTGAGAGTAATGGCGATGAAAATGAGGTCAAGGATGTTGTTATCTGATAAATAATGTTGGAGTTTATAAGATATGTTTCGACTCTGCCCCTTGTTGATAGTCTTTGCAAGAGCTAATTGACTTGTCTCAGAAATATTTCATTGAAGTTGCTATTCCAAAACTGGTAACCAAAAAAGTAATTTGATTGATTTTCCAATCATTTGTCCGTAAACATCAGTCTTTTAATTGCCTCTAGCATTTCATTGTATGATACATGTTGGAGATTTTTGTTCTTTGGAACTCTCACCAGTTGATGGACGGACTCTAACTGATTACATGCATACCAGAGGTCTTTGGATCCGTTCTTTGGGACAAGTTGTAAGTGTCTTATGTTGAAAAGCTTTTAATAGAAGATAAATAAATGCTAGATCTAGTTGAGAGGAATAAACTTGAAATCGAACTTGTGAAATGTTATAATATGTTACATTCTACGTTGAATGATGTGAGCTTATTTTCTTAATCAGCTTAAGCTTTCTGAAAAGTTATCGCACCGTCCATTCTCTTTGTATTCATGAGATGATAGTACGAGCTTTTAAGCAAATTCTGCAAGCAGTGATTGCTGCTGTTGTTAATACCAAGCAAACGGTTGTGTCAATTGCTGCTGCATTAAACCTTATGCTTGGGGTTTCTGAAAATGACTAGTTAAGACGGCCTTGCAATGTCCATTCCCTTGTGTGGAGATGGCCGGAGGTATTTCTGAAGAAAAGATATGACATCATATATGATTAAAGATAGAATATATTTACTGCAATTATGACATCATATATTCTATCTTATCCCAAATATGATTAAAGGGGTCAGTTTTTTCGAGTTTTTCCACTATCTGTTTCTTTGCAGCAAGCAGCATGCTCATCTGCAGATGGAAGACAACTTCTGAAATCGTCAAAAACATCTCTAGATAAGAGAAAACCTGAATGTGCAGTTTGCTTTGGGACAAAGGTAATGGATGTACAATCATGCTTTTACTCCTTTTCATGCGTAAAATAGTAATTAGATGGTTCAAAATCTGTTCCTGTCACTTATCATAGTGGTAGAAAATATGTTATATGCCTTTATTTTGCTGTCTCCAGGCTCTTGCAAAGCTGGTAGCAGTTTGTGGTCCCTACCATCGAATGACGGCAGGAGCTTACAGCCTTCTTCTTGTAGTTTTATATCACACTGGAGACCTCAATCAGGTTTGTTGCTTATTTTTGTTGTGCTGTGAAGACATGTTCTCTGAACTAGGGCAAACATATTAGTTTCATCTTATTAAATTTTTATTGAATCATTTCTAGAAAGTACCTTTTAGATCTTCTTGTTAGGCTTCTTTATCCTGCATGGACATCCGAATTTATAATATTTTGATATTCTCCTCTCTTCTTTTTTTTCAAATAGGTTTTTGGTAATAAAATAATTCAATTAATCCTATTTACAGACCACTATTTATCAGCAAAATCCTCGGATATCCATGAGAGAGAATTAGGACTTGATCATCCAGATAAGATGAAGAGTTATGGAAATCTTGTGTGTTCTACTACAGACTTCAACATACAGAGCTGGCTCTCAAGTATGTTTTGTTTTTTCTTATTGTAATTTTTATATGTCTGTCTTCGTAAAATTATCCATGTTCATTCATTTGAAACTCAATACTCTATCTTTGCCTTCTTCTTGTTGTTGTTGTTGGGGTTTTTTTTGGTTTTTCTATTGTTTATTTTTTATTTTTTATTTTTTATTTTTTGTTTTTTTTTTTTCCTTTTGTTTTTAATATTTAGTTAAAGTGAGACATCGAGATTGTTATGAAAAATGCCGTGAACCAAGAACGCAATCAAGAAACACGACAAAAAAGTAAACACACACCACATCAAGAACACAAAGATTTACGTGATTAGGCGTAAAGCCTACGTCTATCGTGAAAGGAAATTATAAGTTTCAGCCCCTAAACCCTCTCTCTTACTCTCTAAAGTGCGGCTTTCAGTTTTCTCTCATACCTTACTCCAAACCCTAAAATCCCTTATACATTACACTATAAGAAAGTTCTAGAACTAGGTCCACAACCCACAAGAGAAATAAACTGGTCAATTTTTTTTGCCACAACTTCACAAAGAGATCATGATAGCACCTTTGCTTAAAGTCACATTTCAGATTTAAAGTTTATTTAGTGAGTTCTTATTGTTCATGCTAGCATATTCAATGAGAGAATGACTGGTGGAGGAGGAGAGGAACGGAGAGGAGAAAGGACTGAGGAGGAAGAGAAAATGGAGTCCCCAAGTCTAAGGCGTGGGGATAAGAAAAAAAGTCAGAACCAGAACCGAAACCCCCTACTCGCAAGTGGTGAGGGTATTTCTACACATGTCTGCATGTATGGCCTAGAACACATGAAATGCATCCTTTATGGAATGTCTTGGTCATTTCTGGGATATGGGTTGGGTAGTTAGAGCCTAGTGTCCTTGTTGGACCGTCCCATTTCTTAACAGCTTAAGTTTAAGGTTTTGCGGCAATTTATAGTCTAACAAGTTATCAAGATTTTTGTTTCAGAAGGTTTTGGGTTCAAGTCTCCGTATATGCATTTGTTCCCCAATTTGGTGTGCAAGATTGCCCGTGATTTCAATTTGGTTTATTTGCCTTCCTATGTGCAAGATGGGGTTAAGCATTTGGAGCAGATTGTGATTCTCACATTTGATTATTAAAAACATATTAAAATTTCAAATTTTTTCTTTAAGAAATAATTTCTAATTAAAAAATCATGATTTTTTCAATGCTTAGTCTCTTTAGTCTCTTTACTTTCACGTCGTGAAAATTATTGATTTCATGCTTCTTGTTTATTTGTTCTCTGGACGAAATTTACTTTTGTCATTATTCAGATATGTAAAGCGTTCATTATAATTAATATCTTTTACATCTCACATGTGGACCGTCAATCCAAACACTGCTGCAACATACATCAATGTGCCAATGATGGAGGAAGGCTTGGGAAATGTGTATGTTGCCCTCAGATATCTCCATAAAGCTCTAAAATGTAATCAAAGGTTGCTGAGCCCAGACCATATCCAGTATTTTTTTTTTTTTTTCTTTTTTTTTTTGGCAAACAAGCAACATTACATAGAAACATAAAATAAATCAGCCTTAGCCAACTCAATTACAGATGAAGGCGCATGCTCTAACACCATATCAGGATGGCGAAGGTTCTTTGAAATATTTGCAACCGCATGAGCAACAGAATTACCTTCCCGAAAAATATGCGAAATGCTCACCTCGTTAAACCAACTCATGCTTCTTTGATATCAAAAATCAAAGTTGAGAGCTCTTTCGGAGGAGTCACAGCACCCAAAACTGCATCAACCACCAATTTTGCATCACATTCCACCCAAATACATTGGAACCCCAGATAATTGGCCCACCATAAAGCCTGACGCACACAATGAGCCTTAGCACAAGTTGCAGATAAAGCAAAAAAATGATTTCAAAGTAACCACATCACTTATAGACCCGGCTGAATCCCTGAACACAACTCCACCACCCGCGGCTCGTGACCTTTTACAAAACCAGGCATCAACATTACACTTGATCCAACCATCCGTCGAAGGCTTCCATAACTTCTGAGGATGCAAAAATTGAAAATCAGTATGTAATCGACCTCTCCGATTTTGAGCTTCCATAAATTCTGAAAAGCAGGAACAAGCTATCGCTGCCACTTGCCAAGGATCTTTTTGTCTCTGCTCAAAACAAAAAGAATTACGCTCTTTCCACAATGCCCAAGCACAGAAAGAAGCTAAGCCCATCCGTTGAACACGCAGTTCTTTCGATAGCGATCCAGAAGCCAAACTCTTCCACCATCCCGCAAAAGATGTAATTTTCACACCACAAAAATCCAAATGAATGGGAGAAATAAAATAGGACACCAAATGTGTATTTGATAGTGGGATGAGACAATAAAATAGGACTGTCTTAGAACATGGATTTTCTTGCCCTAGTTTATGAAATGGAATATCTTGTGCCGCATAGGCATAAACTGCAAAATGTGGTCCGACTGAGGTTGGCTCGATTATTAATTCTGTTGAAATTTAATAATTTAATTTCAAGTGCAAGAGGGTCTCTTTTCAACCTATCGTGTGTAATTAATAAGGTGTCACCTTTATAACAATGCAGTAGTCTTCATCTTAGAAAAGCTTTTTTTTCTTTCCCATAAGTAAACTTGTTATATAGCAATCAATTATATGAAAGCATAACACCAGGTTTTTCCTACATGTGTGGATTTTGTCTAGAAATATCCAACCATAAGTTGACTGTTTGGATGATGTCATTCCTCAGGATGTTGCTTGGTTCATTTGTTTGGTTTATCCCAGTTTTTTTTTTTTTTTTTTTGCCCTTTGTATGTGGCTAAGTTTCTTTTTACTTGTGGAATGGCACAAAAAGTATTGTCCATTTGATTTTGTTCGTGGGCTATGCCCTCCAGTGTTGGCTGCTTATCGTATTGTTGGTAGCTGCTACGACAAACGCCATGAACCAAGAACACAAGCAAGAAACAAAAAAGTAAACACACACCACACAAATAACACAAGAATTAAAGTGGTTTGATGTAAAGCCAACGTCCATGGTGAAAATCCAATGAAAGATTTTACCATACGAAAAAATAAGAGATTACAAGTTTCAGCCTCCAAAACCCCCTCTCTCAGTCTCCAAACTGTGGCTTTCAGTTTTTTCTCAATCCACACTCTAAACCCTGAATGCCCTTACATGTTAGGGTACAAGAGAGTCCTAAAACCCAGTCCATGACCTGCAAGAGAAAAAAAAAAAAAACACGTCGCAAAGAGAAGGTTTTCAGCGCCTAGATATCCCTAAAGAAAGATCAGTGATGTAACTAGTCCTTGGAAGGTAAAAATGAAGCAAACAACCTCAATTTGGTTCTGCAGGCCGATCTTAAGGCCCATATGTGAGCCTTCCCACAAACCTCATCTATCATTTGTGGCTAAACAGATAAGGGTTTACCATAGGCCACATACCCAGGTCCATTACATCCTGAAGGGGGGTGGTGAACAACAATAGCTTGTGAGCAGCTGAGATTTACGGCATAGAATTTCAGCTCACGCATGCATGGGAGAGTTCCTGTATAAGCAAACATTCCCTCCCATTTAAAAGTAAGAAAAAGTTGGTCTTTATTTTATCATATATGGTACTACAAACAAGAAGAGAAGGTTTTCTCATTCATGAAAAGAAGAATATTTTAGGGCAACCCCTACCTCAGTTGGAATGAAAATCCACAAGAAACAAAGGTTGTGGACTTTAGGACAACCCCGACCTCAATTGGAATGAAAATCCCAATTACCACCGAAATGGAATCGCCTCAAAATTTTCTGTCCACAAAACAGATTTTTCAGCTTGACACTTTCAACTTTGAAAATTCATAAAAAGTTCAATTCTCATCCAAATTGAATAAATCCTAAGTCAATTGAAACTTTAAATACTATAATTTGAAAATATCAATTTAGTTTAACAAAATCTTTTCCCCATTGAAACAGTTTTGACACAAAACTTCGAATCCAATTCTGCCCAGAAACAGATTTTCAGCCTATAACTTTCAACTTTGAAAATTCATGAAAAATTCAATTCTTACCCAAATTGACTGAATCCAAAGGCAATTGAAAGTTTAAAGACCTAAGTTTGAAATTATAATTTTACTTTACCAAAATACCTCACCATTTGAAGCAGTTTTGATGAGAAAAATCAGAGAAATTCCGCCTCCAAAACAGAATTTCCAGCAAACTGACTCCAACTTCAGAACTTCATAGTAAATTCATTGTTTAACCAATTTGTGTGCAACCGAGTCTCAATGGAAGATAAACGACTATATTATCATAATATCAATTCATCTCTACAAGATAAATTTCGAATTTACATGAATTTTGGGCAGAACATCAGCATGTAATTGCTGTCAAAAAATTTCAGAATGCACAAAAGTTCAATTCTGTTTTTCAAGCAAGTAACAACTCAATTAAAGAGATAAAATTCACCAAATGTAAAGGTTGTGAGGTTTAGGACAATCCTACCTCAAAAGGAGCCTTAGATCTTGCTAGACTACCCAAAAGCCACACCAAGGAAGGATTAAAGCCACAAAATTTAGAAGAAAATGAAGAACACCCTTTAAAATACAAGCACCACCTTTCCTCTTTAAAACCCCCTTTTGAAACCCAAACAGTGAGAAAATATTTGCAACCTTTATATCAAAAGGAAGTCCAAGTTCACAGGAACAACTTTTATTCCCAAAGCCCCCTCAAATTCCTTACACAAGTACCTCAAATTTATATGTAAAAGAAGTGACTATGGAGAGACAAGAAAAGAGAGCCGAAGGAAACTACAAGGAATAAAATACAAGTCTGCAGAATTCCTTCTAATCTCTATACATGTATATGCCACCTACATGCATGGGTGTCAAGCCACAAAATGGTCAAAAGTATGACCTCCTACAATGACCACAAGGCCCTCCAACATTCTGTAAATACCTTCTATGCCATTTGCATAGTAAAAGTCCCCCATGCCCCTCCATATCATACCAAATACCAAGTATGTTATTTACATAATTAAAAGTCAATAATACCCCTAATGAAATAATCAAAAGACCTCCCACATATTTAATTTAAATAAAGGAAATGATACTAATCTCAACAACAAAATAAAATTGCAATAAATATGAGAAGTCCGAAAAATACAAAAGTGCAAGTCATCACACTAATTGTGTTTTATTTAGTTACAATATTAAATATTATGTGACAAAAGCCTATGCATTATGCCATTATCAGTATTCCTTAACATTAATTCACCTTTACCTTTGCTTCTTCATTTGTTATGTTTCACAGTACTAAAAGTAATGTTTACTTTTAGGAGTTGATATTACTGAGTGACACAACCACTCTTTGATCAGCTTTCAAGTAAAAACTCAAACCAACCAACTGTGCTTGCATATTTCGAATCCTCTTATATCATCTTTATTAATGTAGTCAACTAATTAATTCACCAAAATTTTAACGATATGTATCATTTAAGTTCCAGATAATGGAATATCACTCCTTAAACTTTCTCAGCACTAGAAACCCGAATCAATTATTTCATTATATGTGTTCTAGAGTGTTTTAAATTGTATGAAAATGGCAGTTTTAGTCACTAATATCACTCTCATTGCAGTCAGTGGCATAGCCACAAAGGGACAAGTGGGGGCAGTTTTATATGGAAATTTTTTTATATTTATATAATTGTCCCCTTTAAAATTTGACAATCCACGTATATATACTATATATATATATATAACCAAAAGCCTTTAAAATTTGACAGTGTACGTATATATACTATATATATATAACTAAAATCTCATTCACGGTAATCTATCAGATAATATAATATTTATTTTCACTTTCCCAAAATATTATATTCTTTTCCACTTTCCAAATAATAATAATAATAATAATTTTATTAAGATATTCTATCATACTTTTGACTTTACACAAACAAATAGATTATTTTCATTACATTTTCAGTCTTCAAACATTTTCCACAATCCAAACAAAGTAAGCGGAATTACCAGTAGACAGAGACTCAATGTAGTGCAACAGACAGGTAATTTGATATATATTTTTTATCATCTAAATTTTACTATTATTATTTGATATTATAATTTTAATTAGATAAATTATTCGTTATTATTATCAAAATTATTTTAGAACTTACTGTTTTTTCAAATTTTAGTTTGTGTAATTGTGTTATTAATTATTATTCTCTAAATAAAACTTAGAAAAAAATTTTTTTTTTTTTTTTGCAGCCCAAATTAATGAAATCACATATTCAACTCTATCAAAATTTCTGATGGATTGAATTATCTTGTTATAACTTATAAGGTTAGATTTGATTATCATGGTTTTTTATTTTTTTTATTTTTTTACATATGTGATATATTAGAACAATTAGGTAACGTAGTTATTTTCTTTTTCATATCTTATTTTTGATTCATTGAATTTAAATTTTTTGTAGTATATTTAACTCAATGAATTAAATTTTGAAACAACAATGAATAATGTGAAAAATCGTTGTGAATAAACTGAATAGAAATATTATGAATCAATGTTTTAATTTTTACATATACTGTTTTACTAAAAATTATATATATATATATATATATATATATATATATATATATATATTTATTGCTATTAAATATTGCCCCTATTGAAGGAAATTTCTGGCTAACACTGCATCGATGGCGAAGGCATGCCCATCATAAGGGAGGATAATACAACCTACACAGTCAAGGTTGGGCTGAAATCTGCTGTGTTTAAGCTCTTTGGAGGTAATAAATTATTTACTAAGTTTTTGTTTTTTTTTTTAATAATTATTTTAAAGTTTTATTTTCTAACTTTCCAATTACTATTCTTGGATTGCATTGCAGACTTGCAGTTACTTTGTTAGTGACAAATACGGTAGTTAATTGCCTGACGGTCATTGGACATCCTTATAAATTCAGGCTGGTATGTTAAAAAATTTAAATTTAAACATTCACTAATTAAAACCGGTTTTAATTCAAGCATCTAATTACCTAACCTATAATTTTTATTTATTTTTTTTTTTTCAAGGGACTGCATTTCATTTTGGAGTTGGATGGTGATGCTCAGCATTCCAATATAGAGTGTGCATGGACATTCAAAATCTTCCGATCAGTTTTCCATTTGTGATACCAGCTCCCGTGGCAGACCTGATGAATTCGGCTAGGGAAGAAGATATTTTTTGGGTATTTCTTACCAAGGAATTAAAGAAACCAGTGGGGGTCAAATTCTAGTGGGACCAGCAGTTGCCAACTTTAGTTTTAATTAAATCTCACAATTGGAGGCAGTAAATTATTAACTTATTAGAACATGCTACTTGATTATAATTTAATTAGTAGGCTTAATTTTTGTTAAATTTCAGCTTGAATTTCAAACTCTACTTGGTATATTTCAGTGTTTGCATGTTATATTTATGGTGTTGATATGATGGTATTAGACAATGTTATTAATGTTATGTTTGGGTGCATCGAATTTAAAATTTAGTTCAAAAATCGAATTGAATCAATCCCACCATTGTTTAGTGTCATGCCCCGCCTTAAAAGTTATAGCACGCATATACCATGCAGGGATGATGATATGAATAGTTTTTATAGCAATACATTCTAAAATTCTCATGAATTTAAAATTTAGTTCAAAAATCGAATTGAATCAATCCCACCATTCTTCAGTGTCATGCCCCGCCTTAAAAGTTATAGCACGCATATACCATATAGGGACGATGATATGGATAGTTTTTATAGCAATACATTCTAAAATTCTCATGAGTTATATACCCCTGAGTTATATAGACTTGTGTATTATTATCTAAAATATTTTAATAGTAACCTTGTAACCATCCTAGATATATTTTAGAGTATTCTATAACAAATCTCTCACCATTAGATAGGCTACATGTGTACAGGCACAGACCCAGCAGGTGACTAGGGGCAGATGCTCCCCTGAATTTTTAATATTTTTATTTTATACCCTAATTTTTTAAAATTTTATGAAAATGGCCCCCTAAAATTACAATTCGCCCCTACTGGATTCTTTTTTTTAGCTTTTATACATCAAATTTTGATAATTTATGAAGATGCCCCACTAGAATTATAATTTGCCCCACTGATTTTTTTTTTCCTTTTCATTTTATACTTTAAAATTTATGAAAAAAAACCTTATTAAAATTACAAAAATGAACCCATCATATAATTTTGTACCCACAAATTAAAAAGCTGCCCCCCTCACAAAATTTTTTGGATCCGTCATTGCATGTGTACAGATTATGGTTGATTATAAAGGACTTGTCCTATTTATTTAATTGCCACCACCACAAAGCAATTCTATTGGAAACTGAAATTCAGTCCTCACCATCCGAAACTGGAAACTGTAATTCAGTCCTCAAGAATTCATCAAGAAAATATCAAGAATTCTTGATTATTCTCAAGAATTCTTGATTATTCTCAAGAAATCATCAAGAAGTACGTGAGAAATGAAACTAAACAGTAAACACATAAAGAAGAAAAGGTAAATTCAATAAGAAAATGGTACGAGTTACCTTGTGTGTTCATCATGTCAACACCATCTTTGACGTAGATTGTAGTCATCCTAATGCAAAGTTCATGAACTCTGGACTTGTAATGGAGCAGAAGCTCTTGAACATTTACCCGAACTCGACCCGGCCTCGACAATAGAAAGCTTCCGAAGGAATCGGAAACTCGGTGTAGCCGTCAGTCCACGAAATCCCACAAAACCCTCATAATTGCATTCCATGTGTTGTATGAAGAAATTTGCAGTGATGCCATGGAGCTTCCAAGAAAAAAAAGACAGTCAGAGAGACTTGTTTGAAGTCTCTGTTCCATCTATTTATACACCTTATGCATGCACTGATTCAAAATTTATGTAACGGTTATAATTTAAATTTTAACCCAGATTTCTAGTTTTAAATTCTAGTTATGTGTTTTTTTTTTTTTTTTTTTTTTCGGTAAATCAGTATATAATCAAAAAAGTGAGATGTACAGGGCTCACCAACAAGCCCAAAAAAAGCAGCCCAAAAGCAGCAAGAACAAAACATCAGGCCCACACAAGAGACCAAACCCAAGAGCCCCAAACAAGGCCCAAAAGGAACAAATTCTAGTTATGTTCTATCTTCTAAATGGAGAGATTTTTTCTTAAAATATTTGTTACTACTACCACCACCCTCACCACCAATGCCTTCCACCACCTACATCATTGCCGCCTTCCACCACCACCGTACCACTAGCACCGCGACTCCCTTCCACCATCATCAAAAGAAATAGTTAGTAATGCAAAATGAAGTGAAAATATATATATATATATATATTAGAGAGAGAGAAGATGGAATGATAAGTTGCATAATATAAAAGAAAGTTGTAAAGAAAAAATATTTTTCGTAATTAAATTTTATTCAAAAATTATTTTAATTTTTGAAAATAAAAAAAATTAATTACTTTAATTTCACTTTGTGAAAATATGTCATTGTTACTTTAATGAAATATTAAAAGAAATATATATCATTTTAACAAAACAAAACACAATTAGCATGAACAAATTAAATGAATGCTAAGAAAAATATTTAATTTTTTAACTAAATAAAACACAATTGGTAGGAACTAAAATAGAGAAGTACGTGCTAAGAAAAAATATAATATTTTGCTACACACAACAAATTAGCTAGTAGGAACAAATTATAAAAGTGCTTTAATAACTTATACAAGAAATAGTTATAAGAATATAAAAAAATTTAAAAAAATTTCCAAAATATCCTTATGT